TGTGTATAACTTATTTATTTAATAAAGATATACATAAATTATATATTTAACATATTTTACTTACCTTTTTAATATTTTAATATTTATTTTTTAAGTTGACTTGGATTAGGAAAAGGGATACTGTTATTTTATTTAGCCTATAAATATATAGCTATAGGTTGTAAAAGAAGGTTAGAAATATTCATGTGATATATTCTAGAAAGAGAGAGAGTTAGAGAGGAAAGGAGGAAAAGAAAGGAAGGATGAAAAAAATCCTGGACAGAGAAGATCAAGGAAGAAGAAGTTTAACTTTCGATCCGAAAGTTTAAGGCAAGTTCTTCTTCTATCTCTTTCCCTTTGATTCGTGTTTCTGTACATGCCTAGGAAATTCCAGAATTTATTAAACACGTAAAATTAAATAATTATGCATGTTTAATTGGATTAGAACATAGGTTTTATGAAATTGGTTTATATCTGTTCTTGTGTTATGAATTGATAAATGTATGATTTTGATTTGATTTCCAGTGTGAATTTTTATATGTTTAAATTATGTATTTTTCATATATGTGGAATGATGGAACGTAAATACATGCCTAGAATTCCTGAACATTAAATAGGAACTAGATTTGGATTTAAATAAATTAAAATAGACTCAATCATAATAATGCTTGCTATTTGAATGTTTTAAACAAACGAATGGATTTAATCTTTTAAAATGTTTTAGCAATTGAGATTAAATGTGTAGGATGAATTGGATATAGAGAATGCTTATTTGACGGTATAATAAAATATCATCATGTATAAGATTCAGTTTGTGTAGGATATATGATATATGAAGCTTAAATAAATACTAAATCATTCCTATTTTGTGATAACTTGATATCATATTATCATAGTTATTTCTGAATTGTTTGATGTATTTCCTTAATCGTTACATCAATTGTTGAATTGTGTGGTTTAATGTACTGGTATGGGACGGTGGCATTTTAGGGACGGATTAACTTATCAGTTAAGTCCTACCTATTTTATATAATGGAATGGATTAACTAAAATGTTAAGTCCTACTTATATTCAAGTCAGGTCAGCTGAACAAGTTGAATAACTTATAGAGGATTAATTTATTATATAAGGGAATGGATTAACTAAAATATTAAGTCCTACTTATATTCAAGTCAGGTCAGCTGAACAAGTTAAATGACTTATGGAGGATTAATTTATACTGGATAGGATGGTTACTAAATTATATATATATAAGTATGGTGCCATGATATGAGCTTGAGTCTCAGGATTAGTGGTTAGTGTAACGACCCGCTCCACCACATGGTATGATATTGTCCGCTTTGGGCCTGAGCCCGCACGGTTTTACTCTTGGGATTCACCCCAAAAGGCCTCATATCAATTGGAGATAACACCACCACATATAAGCACTTCACCTTTCCTCTACCCAGGCGATGTGGGACTGTACACCCGTAGCTCGCCAGTGTGGTAGCCTGACAGTGTCTCTCACACCCGCCTACGGCACACCCGCCCACAAGGTCGTCACAATCCACCCCCTTTGGAGGCCCGACGTCCCTGTCGGCACACTTCCGGCTGGGTCAGGCTCTGATACCATTTGTAACGACCTGCTCCAGAATCTTGCTATCACATTGGCGAGCTACGGGTGCACAATTCCCACATCGCCTGGGGTAGAGGAAAGGTAAAGTGCTTATATGTAAGTGCATCATCTCCAATTGGTATGAGGCCTTTTGGGGTGAAGCCCAAGAGCAAAACTGTGCGGGCTCAGGCCCAAAGCGGACAATATCATACCATGTGGTGGAGCGGGTCGTTACAGTTAGGGCGCGTATATCGCTAGGGATGTGTAGCTAGATATAGTGTAGTTGTGTACCCTGGTAGGTCTAGGTACTCATGCCCACTATATGTACGTTTTGCATGTTGCCTACTATTCAGGTTGAGACAACCCTATAGTCTAGTGAGGTTCCTTTAGTGTGTGTGTATATATATATGGACTACTAGTTATTGTTAGATTGACTAGGATGTATACGTGTATCGGATCTCTGCTTGGACTGTAGTAGAGTAGAACTTGTTTGTGGGCCTGACCCACCATTATTTTTTAGGAGTTCGTTAGGAGTAGAGGTTATTCGTGCTGAGCGGGGATCAGTCTACTTCATTCTTCCGATGCTGCATATGAGTTCTTTTATGATTCAGTTTCCTGATTTAGACAGTTATTGCTGTCATTTGTTTAGTTTGGATTTTCTAGGGGTCCACACAGTATGGATTCCCGAGTTGTATTTTGGAGGATCAGTTGTATCAGAAGAGTTTATTAATTAATGGAAATATATTATGAGGTTTATTATTAGATTATCATTTTAGTTTCTTGTCAGCATTTTATTTTTTCTTCTTTATGCTTTTTGTACTTTGTGTTCGTTTATTGCCTATTCGTTTTTGATATCATCGGGTGTGGGCCTGGCCAACCTGCATTCAAAAATCTGGGGTTATCACAATTGGTATTAGAGCACTCCAGGTTCAAGTGTCCTTAGGGGTGTCTTTCGTTATGTGACTTCCGCGTTGCGTCTCTTAAAACTTAAAGCTCATATTAGGATTCGTTGTGCTCTATTTACGGTTCGTTAGGAGGAGCTGATATCAATTAGATTCTGTAGTTACAGAATGGTTGGCACTGGGAGGAGGATTGGGTTCAAGGCGAAAGCAATAAAAACCCAAAGCAGTAAAGGAGAAAGTTATCGATTTCTTTGCCAGAAGCCAGAATTTGAGATCGAAGATTTAGTTCCAGGTTGGTGTTACTTTAAAAGTATAAGCCAGTGAAAAATTTAGGTGTATGTGATAGGTCACCGCATATCGGGGTCAACAAGACTTCAATTGATCTCAAAAAAGAGACAAACGAGGAGTAGGAGTCCGAAGAGGATCGTTGAAAAGATGCATTTAACTTCTCTTAAACTTTTTGCATGGGACAACTATTTGGGGGACAAAAAAAAGAAGGAAAAATGGACCATTAAAGTGGGATGGAATGAGTAAAATTACTTGATTATTGTTTTCTTGCAATTTGAAAAAGTATTTTATCAATATGCCAGTAGCCTATGGGTTACCAGACCTTTATTTCCCAAAAGGAGACGAGGGATTCAAGCATATTTGTACGTGTGAGTATCAACCAAAAAAAAAAAACAAAAAAAAGTTACATGATCAAAGAAGGTGTATCGAAGAGCAAGCATGCGATCACGTTAAGGGCCTAATAAACTCTTCGCGGAGGAAGCTTAATGAATTAGTTTAAGGAATTTTGACCCTAAATCATCCGTTGTAACCATGTCATTGAGCATGGCAAGGACACACTGGCGAATCCAGGGGTGGGCTTGGGCAGGTTTAAGCTCACTCAAAAAAATAATAATTTTTTTACTATACCTAATTTTAGTCCAATCCAAAAAATAAAAATAAAAAAATAAATTATTACTAGTATTAATCCACTTAAATAAATATTAATTTACTCTATTGACAATTTCTTAATTCACCCCTGCAAAGATAACCCCTTTCTATATCATGGATAGTATCGGTACATCATTTGGGGTGGCCAAAGAACTTCTGCACAAACTGAAGAGATAACTATTCATCATCTTCCAAGCTGAAGAGATAACTTTGCACAAACTAAAAGCTAATAGAGGGATGATGACCTGTCTTAGCTTCTAGAGGGTCTAAAAAAACTACAAGGGTTGCCATTATTTAATAGAATGGATTAAAAAACACAGGATAAACACGAGTAGTTATAAAGTTGATTCAATGACAATTAAGCAGACTAGCTTTATCCAGACAAACTTCCAAATTTGACCATATATCTCATGCCTTACTCATATATAGACACACACAGATAGTCAATTTACTACCTAACTGTACTAACACAGGTAAACACGAGTAGTAATAAAGTTGATTCAATGACAATTAAGCAGACTAGCTTTATCCAGACAAACTTCCAAATTTGATCATATCTCATGCCTTTCTCATATATAGACACACATATAGTCAATTTACTCATATATTGTACATATAGTCAATTTACTACATATATAGACACATATTATTTATTTATTTGAGTTAAGATAAATTCTACCTAGTCAATTTCTAAAAAGGACTTACATAAAACGTGTTCATTTTGTTAGAATGTGAAACATGTAAACCCCGAAAGAATCATGTGAAACATGTCAACTATACAGTTGGCTAACTCAAATACCTCTCCTCTTTCTCTTCTCTGCCTCCTCATTCATTCCAATTTTATAATAGGTTTTAAATATTTATATCTTAAAATAATTTCTTCTTTTTTTTCCTCTTTTCTCTTTTCTCTCTTGCTCCGTTAAACTATAATTGATACATAAATTTAATATTAACCCTCAAAGATTTACATCATTATATGACTTTTTTTTTCTCAATTTGTCTACGTACTCTTATTCACGTTTTACAATAAATCCTAACAAATATAAAAATTTAATATTAGGCCCAAAATTTAAAAATATTTTAGAGTAAGTTACACCAATAGTAAATTATTAATTTTTTTTACTCTTATTCATTTTTTTTTTTTTTTTTTTTTTTCAACAAGTCTTTTCCTCATACTCTCGTTACAAATTTACAATTGTTATGAATCATTTTTATTTTATTGAAAAATTTGTAAAAGCATTGGATTTGGGTTTTTTAAATCAGGTTCAATGGTTCTTTTTTTTTTAATTATTTTTTAATTTTATTAATTTTTTTATTATAAATTTGTGTGTATATATATTTATATTTTGTTTTTGAATTGTGACTAATTTTATTTATATGGTTAAAAAAATCACTTTTTATTTTTCACCTATGGCCCTAAATTAGATTTAGCCGCCGTTGTTAATCTACGGAAATAAAATTTAATTAAAAAACACGTGCATAAATTAGTGACTTGAAACAGTCTCTCTAGATAAGATTCTTTTATTTTTCTTCTATAAATAGAATTCAACCTGGTTCTTGAGAGTTTATAGCTTTCCATCAATGGAATTACTACTTTATCCCTTTAAACCATGCACACGCTGCACTAGTGTAATTATTTGCCGTGGAATGTCATTCAATCCACTGCAGCAAATGAGAATGAAGAGAGTCCAACCAGTTTTTGCACACTCCTCTACCTTCTCCAACACCAATCATCAGTTTCAACTACTGAATCAACGCCGATCAGCTAACTATCATCCAAGCATTTGGGACCCTAAGTTCATTGAGTCACTAAGCACACCATATACGGTATGTTCATTCATTCTTTTTTTTTTTTGGGATGAGAAACAGAGTAGGTGCTAGTTAAATAATAAGAGCTCACCGCTGGCCTATTTTGTAGTTTGATTTTGATGGCGCCAAATTAGAAGAGTTGAAGGGTGGAGCAAGAAGGTTGCTTGACTCCGCCAAAGAAGACATTTCCACGCAGTTAAATTTTATTGATTCAATGCAACGGCTGGGAGTGGCCTACCATTTTGAGGAAGAGATCGGAAAATGTATTCGTAGTATAGCTTGTTGGGATGCTACCTGCAGTGACCTATACACAACTGCATTGCGATTTCGGTTACTAAGAGCACATGGTTATTCAATTAGTTCAGGTAATTAAATAGTTGCATATTTGGATATATAGTACTGTAAGTCTGTAAATACATATATTCATGTCATCGACTCATCATTATTCATTGTCATGGTTTGCTTTCTTAATTACTTAGAAACAATTTTAACTTTTGGTTGAACATCAGATGTGTTTGACAAATTCAGAGATAGGAGTACAGGGAGATTCTTGGAAAGCTTAGGGGATGATGTGTTGGGTATATTGAGTCTGTACGAAGCTTCACATCTTGGAAAGCATGGTGAAGAAGATTTAGAAGAAGCCATGAATTTTAGTATTAAACATCTCAAGTCATCAGTTGGGAAGTTGGAGACGAAGCTAGCTGAGCAAGTTCAACGATCACTGGAAGTTCCCTTACACTGGCGGATGTCAAGAGCAGAAGCCCGGAACTTCATCGACGTCTATTCTGTGGACGATGCCAGGAGCTCAGTTCTGCTGGAGTTAGCTGAACTGGATTACAATCAAGTGCAATCAGTATATCAGAAAGAACTAAAGGAACTTGCAAAGTAAGTGTTTGTTTGATTGAAATGTTTTTATGGTGGATGAATGAGGAAGAAGACTAATGTTTTTTTTTTTTTTTTTAGGTGGTGGAGAGACTTGGGTTTTAAAGAAAAGCTTGCCTTTTCCCGCGATCGCTTGATGGAAAATTATTTGTGGGCAATGGGGCTCATCTGTGAGCCCCAGTTCTCCAAATGCCGGAAGGGACTCACTAAATTTGTGTGCATATTGTCCGCCATCGATGACATGTATGATATATATGGATCACTGGATGAGCTTGAAAGTTTTACTGATGCAGTGAATAGGTATGCTATAGAGATGCCAGTGAATACTGCTATTTTAATTTGTATTGTACTGTTGTCCAAACTAGCAAGTTTTCTTAATTACTATTTCTTTTGTTCTCTCAGATGGGACATTAATGCCATGGATGACCTCCCTGAGTACATGAGGCTATGTTATTTGGCCATGTTCAACTTTGGAAATGAAATTGCCTATGATGGTTTAAAAGAACATGGATTGAATATTCTGCCTTACATTAAAGAAGAGGTGAGAATATAAATATATTTATGTTGCTAGGTTCCACTTTTGAGTAGAATTCTGTGCCATTCTGTCCTAGTATTTTAAATTTTTCATCAGTGACAACAAAGCTATGTTTATTGCAGTGGGTAAATCTTTGTGGATCATATTTGGTAGAAGCGAGGTGGTTCCACACCGGTTACACGCCAACATTTGACGAGTATTTGGGAAATGCGTGGATTTCAGTGGGTGGTCACGCTGCCATAGTTCATGCTTACTTACTGCTAGGCTTCCCGATAACGAAAAGCTCCATGGATTGCTTCAAGCAAGGCTCTCAGACAATTTACTGGTCATCTCTCATTACCCGACTTAGTGATGATTTGGGCACTTCCAAGGTACATATTGTAGTAATCACTAGTTTAAAACCATTTTGCATCATTCGTATTGCTTGTAAATGATCGTGCTGTACACTTATTTATTTTTTGGCTGCTTTTGCAGGCTGAGATGGTGAGAGGGGATGTCGCGAAATCAATTCAATGTTATATGATCAAAGAAGGCGTATCCGAAGAGCAAGCACGCGATCACATTAAGGAACTAATTAACTCTTCGTGGAGGAATCTGAATGAAGCAAATTTAAAGAATTTTAACTCTAAATCACCCATAGTAACCATGTCATTGAGCATGGCAAGGACAGCCCTATGTATCTTCCAACATGGGGATGGTATCGGTACATCAGTTGGGGTGACCAAAGATCTTTTGACCTCACTAATTGTCACGCCCATTCCGATGATCAACCACTCCATCGTGAAGTGTTAATTGCAATTAGTCGGCTATATAATATGTGAAAAGGTATTAATGCAGAGTCACGAAGTTATTAAAATTAAATATATACATGAAGATTTGCATTGTTGTACTAATTCTATTTTACAATTAAAGCTATTTAATTAGATAAACCGGATTCTTCATGAATGAGTAGCAGTGGCAGAAACATAATATGCAACACAAAGCAGACAATGAAAAAAGCACATAGTCCCTCCAGTGGACAAAATGTAATGGTGAGTGAAACCACATGATCCCCTTGACTTCTTGTTTGATTTGGTCCCAATGACCAGCATTGACAATCCAGCGGCCAATATGATCCTGATCAATCACAATCAATTGCATCACTACACGCATGTACTCATGAGATCAAAAATAAATAAGAGAGTCAGACTCCAAACTTGATCCGAGTCATGAGACATACCATGTAAAAACGAGACATGCCACTGATAATTTGCTGTGTTGGGATGGTTTTGGAAGCTCTTCCTGAGTAGTGCAATTGGTGCACCCACCAAGCAAGTTGGCTAGTATGTGGGCTAGACAAAGGAGGGTAGCAGCAACCAACCCTAGAACAAAGGCTTTATGGCTTGGTTCTTTACACTCAAATATCCCTAGCTTGAAATCCTTTACCTGTTTGGGAAAATGAAAAAAATAAAAAAAATTACATAGAAGCATATGGACAATCACATACATATTAAGAGAAGAAAATGGCTCACATATTATACATCTCTCTATAGACACACAAATAGGTACCTTGTTTTGTGCTGCTTCAGCTTTGATGCCAAGAATCCCTGCTACAATGTCCATGACTACGATCAACAAACACACAAGAACACCAATCCTTGTGGCCATGTTTGATATATGATATAATGTATGTGTGAGTATATATATACGTCTCTTGGTGCTAATTTAATAAAGATTCAGAGGAGGAGGAGAATGTGCATAAAGTCTAGGAACATACTATAAAAGATGTGAAAATGAGATTAGATGCAAGAAAAAGTTTGTTTTCTCGATGAGATTAGGTGTTTAGCATTTGTATGTACTTGGATTCTTAGATGGGTTAACACGGAAAGTAAGGTATAACCCAGCTAAGGAGGGGCGTGCATTTATTTGAAATTAAATTAATCAGGAAAAATTAAGATGAACCTGTATGTGATAATGTGATACTAATTTTTAAGGCTCTTTTTAATTTTAGATGAGATGAGACCATACTTATCATATCTTAATGGTAATTTAAATTTTAAATGGGGTATTGAATAATTTTAAATTTTATTAATTTGAAATTTTGTGTTTTGAATAATTTCTTCTTGGTAAGGGTAAGATTGATTCATTGAAATATGACCGTCATGAGTTCCAATGGCATTCTGCTTTCACATCACATCAGTGTATATATTATACCCTGTAATATAAACAAGGGTAAAGTGCAACAAAACCCCTGAACAATTAACGAATTTTACAAAAAAACCCCTATAGTAAGAACTGCCCCCCTAAATTATCAAAATGGTGCATTTAAGGACAAAACGGCTAGTGGAGGTTACCGGAAATAGAGGATTACCAATTTACCCTTTGTTTAAGCTACATCGTTTTATTGATTTATTAGTGCCTATTGCCAACGTGTCAAGTGTAATCCTCTATACCCAATGGCAAATGGACAGCACATCAACCCTTATCCCATTTTGGTTTGTTTTATCCCCAACGCCACCCTATTCTAGCGCCAAACACCACCCCATCTAACTAAGCCACCACTCTGTACTCAAACTCACCCTCGAACTCGAGGTCGCCGGTGGCCACGTCATTTGATCGGAGTATATCAAACTCATTTTTTCCTTGGACAATGAGCACCGAGGCTATGCCGGGATCTCGAGCTGGTAACAAATGGGAGTTTCAATTTGGGGCTTTAATTCATTTATTAACCTAACAATAACAAGGGTAATATTGTCATTTTGAAATTATAATCTAGGCCACATAATAATCAGATGACGGAACAGTGTCGCCCGGTGTTTTTTGAAAAAATTAGGATAGTTCATGGGGTTTATTGTAAAATTAGAAGTTCAGAGGGATTTGTTGGGAGAGAGAGTAAAGATCAGGAGCGTTTTTTGCACTTTACTCTACAAACAATTGAAGTTCCTTTATGTTAGCTTTCACATCACATCAATGTATATATTATACTCAGTAATAGAAACAATTGAAGTTCTTTTTTGTAGGAACACTTGTACGCACTTATTTTTTTCATTCAAATACAATGTAACATATTGACCTATTTATTTTTTTAATTTTTCATTCGAATTTGATGTGAGACAAGCTAATCTCTGGACCCTTAGAACATTCTTTCACACCAGAACTTGTAACACTTTCATTGCGGCTCGGACCACCTTGTCTACCCGCAGTGAAGATTCGAGCCAGACCCTTGGCGTTACACTGAATCAAGGATTGGGTCTGACTCTGATACCAATTGTAACAAGTGGGTGGTTACCCATTTATTCAAAAACTTAAGTTATTGGATAGCAATATACATACCCATTTATACTCATTCATTTCTTCTATCCAAATTTGATGTGAAAGAAACTCCCTCTTATAACACACTAACACATACTAAAAACACAAGTGTTTTCTTACCCAATCTATTTTATGTGCATTTTTCATTGGTAGTGCTCTGCTCCCAATGTCTACTAATGTTGTCACATTTTTGCTTTTACAAATCATTATTGTAGTATGTCCATGTTGAATAATCTTGTAAATTAGTGACAATATATAAGTCATAGATACAAACCAGTGATTTCTACATTTCTTTAGGCCAGGTATTGTGTTTGAACTTCGTAGATTATACTAATAAATAATTAAAAATAAGGCAAGGGCAAATTATATAAAACTTCCCTCTACTTTCAATTGAAGTTCCTTTATGTAGTAACATAAACATAAAGTAACGCCTCAACGTTTGTACCCACTTATTTTTTCATTCGAATCCAATGTAACATATTGGCCCATTCATTTTTTTATTTTTCCATTCAAATTCAATATGGGACAAGTTAATTCCTGGGCCTTTATAACATTCTTTCACACCTGAACTTGTAATACTCTCATTGCGGCTCGGACCACCTTGTCTACCCGTAGTGAAAATTCGAGCCAGGCGCTTATCGTAACACCGAATCAAGGATTGGGTCTGACTCTGATACCAACTGTAACAGGTGCGTGATTACCCATTTACTAAAAAACTTAAGCTATTGGATAGCAGCATACACACCCATTTATACTTATTCATTTCTTCTATCTGAATTTAATGTGGAACAAGCTCCCCTTTATAACACACTAACATATACTAAAAACACAAGTGTTTTCTTACCCAATCTATTTTATGCACATTTTTCATTGGTAGTTGTAATACCCCAAATTTTAAAATGATAGTCTCGGTATTTTCTTTTATGGTTTTATTGCAATTTTAAATTCTTTATTTGTTTTTTTAGCTATTTTGTTTAATTGGTTAATTATTTAAGTGAGTTATCTGTTTTAATTGAATTATGTGATTATGTGGCATTTCATTAAGTGTGTAAATTAATTAATTTGTGTAATTGAATTATGTGCTTATGTGACATTTCATTAATTGTTTAAATTGATTAATTTGTTTTAGTGACATTGTAGGTTTAAATCGGTTTAATTGTTTAATTGAAATCCTATACTTGTGTGGACTTAAAGTAATGTTAAATTAAATTAAATTGATTTTTTTTTTTCATCTCCTCACAAGAATAGATTCAGGTTAAAGTTTCTTTGCCTATAAATATACTTGTATATGTCTGCCGAGGGTTTTAGAACCCTATTCACAAAACCTAGTGGCGGAGAGATACAGAGAGGTCTTCTGAGAAAAAACAGAGAGAGGAAATTAGGGTTTGGCTAAAACTAAGGCTGAATCAATGAGAGAACGAAGGAGTGGTTGTTCGTGGGTGGAACCAAGGGCAACAGAGAAGTTGAGAATAGTAGGAATTGCCGAAACCTTAGGAAGACGACGTTGAGACTTTGATCGTAAATCTCAAAGGCAAATTCTATCTCTAATTCTTTCTCTTAGACTTGTGTTCTGTGCATGCTTAGATAAACTCCAGGATTTTAATCGGACATTTAAAACTGATCATGTTTGTATATTAATTCTGAATTTTAATGGTATTATGGGTTATAAAGTGAAATTGATTTATCTTATAAAATTGTTGTCTATGTTGTATTTTAATTATTGTTAATGATTCATGCAAAGTTTTTATGAGTTTTGGAATAAATTGGGACATAGATGAAATCCTAGAACCTTAGCAAAGAATCACATAGAGGTTTAAACGTTGCCAGAGGAGAAGTAGAGGAGGAAAACAGAAGAAGAGCCGGCTCACTTTTGAAGGGAGGCGGCTCCCCTCTCAAAGAGGAAACTCTACATGCAAGGGAGGCGGCTCCCTTAAAGGGGGAGCCGGCTCCATGCTTGGTGGAGGCAGCCCCTTCCATGGGGGAGGCGGCTCTTTGCTTAGTTGGTGGTTTTGACATGTTTTGGGTGGTTCTGAGCCACAATGCTTGGATTTTGAAGTTCCAGAGAGTATTAAAAACTTCTAGGAAGGATTAAAATGGTTTTTAGGATGTAGATTAATCTTCCGGAATGTGTGTTAATGCATAATAAACCATTTATAGTTTGAACAATATATATTTCTTAAACAAATATGCATACTGTATTAGAGATGGATGATTTAAATTGCTTATTTTTGTTTTAGCAATTTCCTGTGAATGGTTATACAACTTAATCATGTATCAGTGGTATCGAATAAGCATGTTAATTTATATATTATTATTATGCTTATCATGGATTAATGGATGGTTACACCTATTCTCTACATTATAAATGGTTGAATAATCATGTATCAGTGGTATAAGACAAGCATGTTAATTTACATATTCTTATTATGCTTATTATAGATTAGTTGATATTTACATTTATTATTTGTATTATCAATTATTAGATTTATAGATTTTATGCACCGGAATGGGACGGTGGCATACTAGGGATGGATTAGCTCAAAACGCTAAGTCTTACCTATTCTGGAACAAGGGAACGGATTAACTTTAAAAGTTAAGTCCTACTTGTATTCACGTCAGGTCAATAAATAGTTGAATGACATTATTTTGGTTTGGACGGATTTTAAATATATAATTATGGTACCTCGATATGAGCTTGAGTCTCAGGATCGACAGTTAGGGAGCGTACATACATTGGGATGCATAGCTGGCTATGATGGTTGGAGGTGTACCCTGTTAGGTCTAGGTACTCATGCCCACTTCAGGTGCGTTTTGCATATTACCTACTAGTCAGGTTAAGATCGGTCTGTAGTCCAGTGAGAGTCCCTTAGTGTGGATATATATATGTACGGACTATATAGATATTGTTGAGTTGTCTAAGATGTATCTGCGTATCGGGTCTCTGTTTGGATTGTAGTTAGAGTAAAACTTGTTCATGGGCCTGACCCACTATTATTTTTCAGGTGTTGGACGGTTCCAGTCTTAGAGCTTGTTCGTGCTGAGCAGAAACGGTCACTCATTCTTCCGACGACATAGGATTTCTCTTCATGGTTTAGCTTTAGATTTTATTTCAATTGTTTACTTTCCAGTTTGGGATTTTAATAGGGGTCTACTAGATGGATTCCCGAATTGTTTAAATAATGGAGGTGTTGGGATTATTGGACTTTAATTATTTAATTTTGAATATTATATTTTAGAATTCATTTCAGCATATTTATTTATTCATTTCTTATTATTATTTTATATTCCGTGTTCATTTATATACTTAATTGTCTGGTATCTCTCGGATCTGTACTCGGACTTGATCATCCGTAACTCTAGAATCGAGGTGTATTAGAGTAGTGCTCTGCTCCCAATGTCTACTAATGTTGTCACATTTTTGCTTTTACAAATCATTCTTGTATGACCATGTTGAATAATCTTGTAAATTTGTGACAATATATATGTCATATACAAACCAGTGATTACTACATTTCTTTAGGCCCGGTATTTGTGTTTGAACTTCGTAGATTGTACTAATAAATAATTAAAAATAAGGGCAAGGGCAAATTCTATAAATCTTCCCTCCACTTTCAATTTTTTGGCCCGCCAAAAAAAACTTCCCTACACTTTACGTATTTCTTTTTTAAATTTTAACTCTTTGCACTAATACAACCCGTCATTCCTTACTAATGTTGTCTCAAACTTTTATAAATATTTGGGTTTATTGATGATTATGGAATAAAAGATAAGGCTGGTAGTTACTTGAATAAAGTGTACATGTATACAGGAAAGATGCAAGACATAAAAATTGAGATTGAAGATAAATATATCAAAGAGAGTGACAATGTGTGTGTGTGTAGATATATATATATATATATATATATATAGTACTATTGTTAAATTATGACAGGCCGAGAAGGAAAATCATATATGAATTTAAGGATAATTTTGACATTTTGTTTTTTTTTTTTTAAATGATAAAGTAAGGTTAATTTAATAATTTTACTGTCAAATAATTTGCCCTTATTTGCACAAATTGAAAAAAATAAAAGAGTTTATTATTGGTAGGGTTTTTGCACTTAACCCTATAATTTTAATTGAGTGTATATTGAAGTAGTAAACTTCCATACGATTACAACCGCAGTTTTGATCAACCTAATCTTTGCCTCTTTAAATTCAAATCATTGTTGCATGTATTAACATTGTCACATTTTTGCTTTTACAAATATTCGTGCAGTTATGTATGCATGTTGAATAATATTTTAAAATTGGTAACAAAATATATATGTCATAGATACAAGCCAGTGATGATTTTCTTTCTTTAGTCCAGGTATTTGTCAATTTGTGGTTGAACTTTGTACCAAGAAAATTTTTTTATTAAAAAAAAAAAAGAGAACCTTAATATATATATATATATATATATATATATATATATTTCCCTCAATTCTCATACCTGGTTAGCCCAAAACAAGCAATTTTCTAAGATGAAAACTTGTGGGCTTTAAGATCACTGATTCGGCCTTCAATTGGTATGTCCATAACATGCGAGATTTACATGCTTTATAGCTTCCCCATACCAATCAACATAATGGACCATGAGAACCAACTTCTCTCGGGCATTTTACCAAACAAATCATAAAGTTTTCTTTTGTTTGGACTTTGGAGAACTGAGTGAAGTCAAAGTTGAGACAATTCTAAGCCCACATATCAAACAAATGGAATTCATATTTTCATACCCAAAAAAAAAATAATAATAATAATAATAATAAAAAATAAAATTGAATATATCATATGAATTTGAATCAATGTCTTGGATTTAAGTACAATTCATTCATCTGGTGGTAATCATACTGTAACTTTTTTATCTTGTATCTGTTTTGATGATGTTCTTGGTAAATAAGAGTAGATGAACAGAAACGGTAATTGGAGAGGTATTTTAAATGCCGTCTAGCATAGATACCATTTGTACTTACACTTGCACCGTCACCTGGTTTAGGAATTCTGCTACTGACTTCTAACGGTCATGGTTGTGGTCGAAATCACGATGTACCAGAATCAAACTCGTATTGACCGAATTATTTATCATGATGATAAAATATTTTTCAACATCGCATATAAGCCTCAAAATTCACCCATTCACAAATTTTTTGGAACATAATTGGATAAAAATGAATTTTAGTAGTTTTATTAAATTTTTTAAGAACATTTTAAAACAATTACTAGTAGGTTATTATTTAAAAAGCTTAATAATTACAATTTCTAATAAAGTAATGAATAAAAATATAAATATACTAAAATATATAAAAATAGGCCGATAAGGATTTGGATTTCTTTGGACATGATATGATACGATGAGTTTGTTGCCTCAGGTCCAAACAGAGTGAAGTGCAGGGATGAACATAAATCAAACCAAATTGTGTAAGGGGGAGCAATAGTGGAATTCTTTTGTAATTTTGGAGGGGGTAATATTAAAATTTCATAGGTAATATAATTTAATAAAGAAAAAATCACTAATACAAATACTTAAAAAAAAAAAAGTTACCAACTCAGATTCAGTTTTCTTCCTCCTTAATTTTTGCAATTTTTGAATTAGTCATTCTCAATTTAAATTTCACACCTAACAGAAGAGTGGTTGGTAGTAGCAATCCATTCCAAAGCTACCCTCCTCCTCCTCCTCCTCATGTACTGTTGTCCAAACTAACTGAGTTTTTTTTTCATTATTTCTTTTGTTCCATCAGGTGGGAAATTAATGACATGGAGGACCTCCCAGAGTACATGAAGATGTGTTATTTGGCCATGTTCAACTTTATGTTGCTGGGTACCACATGTTTGAGTAGGATTCTGTGCCATGTATAATATAGGTAAATTAGTACATAATGTAAGAATATATCTGATATATATATATATATATATATATATATATATATATATATATATATTATTTTGTTGAGTTAGTTTAACATCACTAGCTAAATCGGCCATTTTCGTTCAATTTGCTCTCATTATCTGACTTTGCGATGATTTGGATATTTCCAATATGCATATAAATTATAATCATTTTAGTTAGATCATTCTATATCACTCATATTGTAAATGATCATTATGTATACTTCTATTTACTTATTTATTTATTTTGATAATTTTAATGACCGACAAAGTGAGAAGGGATGTCGCAAAATCATTCATTCAATGTTACATGATCAAAGTAAAGTATCAAAAGAGGAAAGCACATGATCAAAGTTTCGTAATTCTTTTTCACTATTAAAGGCCTTACTTACACATGGTGGTTTTGTCATTTAATTATATAGATAAAATCTACATGAATGAATTTATATTTATGAGAAATCAAATTCCATGCTTTGGGCTTCTTCATGGATGAGTAGAAGCGGTAACAATTACCCATGGACAAGTTTATTTTTTTCCCTACTTACATACGGTCGTTGATATGTTTAAGAGAAGAGAAATTTACTATTGACTGGCAGCCATATATGGATACCTGACTTTGTGCTGCTTCAGCTTTGATGCCGAGAATCGCCGCTGCAATGTCTGCAACTACGATAAATACACACACACAAACAACCACCTTAATTTTTAGCCATTTTTTATAATATATATGTCTCTTGCTACTAATTTGATAAGATTCAGATGAGGAGAATGGGCGCAAATAAAATATATGAAATTAATATTGGATGCACAAAAAAATATATATATATATATATATATACTTTATTTTTTCAATAACAGATTAAACGGTGCTAATTTTGTTTAGCATTTGTATATGCTTTTATATTTCATGTTTGTCATTGGATTCTTTGATGGGTTAACAAGGAATTTTAGGTATTACCCAGCTAATTAGGGGGGGGCGTGCATCTATTTGAATTTAGTGATGAGAAATATTTAAGATGAAGCAGTAGGTGATAATGTGACATTCAACAAAAAGTTTGTGACCTAAAAGTCCCAAGTTTCATGCATTGGACTAGCCCTTTTTGAACTTTTTGATCATGTGGAATTTTATTTTATTTTGTGCAATACCAAGAGGACCGTACCAGACCTGCAAAACAGAGCAACCATCCAACTGGAGGGCCTCACGTCTAAGGTTTCAGTTATAGATTGGAATGTTTTCATCAAAAATAGGTCGAATGAGGAAAGAAAAACTAAATGCAGTCGTGGAGATTGAGTTTTGTTGTTATTGCCTGATTCTGGCTTTATCGATCCTGAATTGGGTCATAATACAAACAATTGAAGTTTCTTTCTGTAGTTACATTTTACAAAACAATTGGTTTCTTATTCAAATTCTGTATAATTTGATTGATAGGTATGGGAAGGTATAAAAAGCAATTCAAACAACTCATTTTTGTAGTATGCCCATGTTGAATAAAAAAGAACCTTAAATTTTTTTCTCACACCTGGTTGCCTCAAAACAGGAGATTAATAACATACAATCTAGTGGGCTTTAAGATCCACTGATTTGGGTTCAATTCATTTGTTTAGGCGGCCTTCAACTTGTATGTCCAATTGTCCATAACTTGTGAGACTTGAATTGCTTTTTATACCTTCCCATACCCATCAAATTCATAGTGGACTATAAGAACAAACCTGTGTGCGGCATTTCATCAAACAAGTCATGGGCTTCCCTCATATGCAATACATACCAAATAAGCCATTTCACCCACAACTACTTTTCTTTTTATATTACTTACCCATAAAGAAAACAAAGTAAATTGCAACAGACACATAATAAGGATGGTGAGTGTAATTTTTAGCACAAATGAGCCTTCCGACTTGGGTAAAAATAAATTTGCGTATCAAAACAGAAAGCATCGACTCGTGCACATACGACTAAAAATAATCATATATATATATATGATACCGAATCATCTGAAAAAAAAGATACGAATCACGCCTCTTAATCTATACTATCAAGTAATGATTAATGTACTTCTTAACTTTGCAGATAGAGTCGTGCCTTTAACACTCGATACAACTTCCAAACACTCCACGCACTCAGATAACATCTCTGTATCTCTGTGTTCGCTAACACAGCCTATATCTATATATTTGTATATGGACCAAACCAAATTAAGCTATCTCCATGTACCATTTCCTCCATTTTACGACCTTTTCAGTCACAGCTGTAATGCGCGATTGAAAAACACGCGCCACCGTCCGAGTTGGGAAAAAGACAAATGAAAAAAGAAAAAGGAGAGAGAATATTGAAATGAGCACCTTTGGTGAGAGAGAGATTCAAGATAGCAGGAAAGGATTGAACACCATCTCTTGATACAGAGCCTTCCTCTGGGCGATCTTCTTCAGCAACACCAACTGTTCAAAGGAGTAGACGCAGCAACCTCGCGAGTAGAGAACCGTCTGAGCCACCGGAGAGTTCAGCATCACCTCAAGCAGTTGCTGCCTGTTCAGCCTTCCCAGCGCGCCCAACACATTGCCGTCGACATTGCTAGGGTTTTGAATTGCGAAACTGGACGAGTCGCGAGGCATCGACTGGAGGACGCTAACCTGCGCCTGGAGGAACTTGATGTACTTGTACGTCTCCTCCAGCATCGTCGCCATGTCCATCTTCTTGTCCCACGGAAGGAGTTTCTGCAGACACCGAGTCTTGTTGCTGATCTTATGCCGTCGCTGCCGAGCCATTTCGCTCTGAGCCACCGTCTGCGGCGCCTGAATTTCCGGCGTTTTGAAAGCGGCGAAGTAATTACTCGGCAAGTGGTAGTTTCTAACGATCGATTCTAGATCGTACTGATCAGACGAAGGCTTGGCTCGTTTCTGAGACGACTCAGCGAATGCAAAATCTTCGTGAACTTGTTCAAGAGAACGGAGATTCGGTAACTGACGAAAGCTCGAATCGCAGAAGCTCGAAATCGGAACAGAGCTTTTGGATAAGAAGTCGAATGGTTCAGTCGGTACATCATTGATGAACTCCCCGACGTTGAACGGTTCATCTTTGGGCACTTTTAGCTTCTCTATTTCAAAGTCGATGGACTTCAGGTTTTGATCACCAGCGTTGATTAGTGAAAACTGATCAGTGAGCTGTTCTTCGCCGCGATTAGCCGGAAAATCTTGACTGAAGAAGCCGAAAGTCACCGGATCTGGCTTGGGAAATGCCGGAAAAATAGCCGAAGAAGTGTCGATTGCATAATGATCTAGCGAAGGAAAAAGTGATTGAGTGCTGATACCTGAATACATTGCATTGATATAAGAAGCATCGTCTGCGTTTTGGCCGAAACTAGTCACCGCCGACGAGAAAACAGAGCCGGAACCCTCTCCCCCGACGAACATCGATTGAAAATCTCTCTCCATACTCGTTATCAACAAACCTAGAAAGAGAGTGTGAAAAGGCAACGACACATATGTAATGCGTGTGTGCGTCTCTATATGAGTATATATTACAGAGAGAGAGAGAGAGAGAGAGTACTGTGTGTGTAGAGAGAGAGCAAAGAGGCGGCGATAGAACTGATTTGGTGGGGACGTTAGGGGATGAGGACACGTGTCATTGATTGATGGTGTGAAGACAGCTAGAAAATGGTGGAGGATTGGTTCGTACGCAGAGCTGTAACCGACAAGTGGCGGTAAGGTGAAACGGAGGAAGTAGTACTGTTTTCAGCTTTTGTCGCATTTGAAATATGGCGGGTTTTCTGTTTTAGTTTTTTTTCTGATCTAACGGCTGTGGTTGGTTCGGGCTCTTGATTTCCGTCACCGGCACGATTGTCGGGTTGTCAGGAAGCTGCGGGGGGAATGTGGCTGTTTTGGCCAGAATGGGACAGAAAAGTTGTGGAAATGACGAATATAGCCCCCAAAAGCATCTGAGAAGATGAGAACAAAATGGATGAGAACGAGTGTCCACTCTGATGGATGATGCTGTTGGGACTTGGGAGCATGGATTTACAGGTGCTGGAAGATTGGAATGAGCTGAGAATTTGGTGGATATATATATATAAGCTCCTCGAATAAGCCACTTGCGATTTTGCTATTTCTAAAATATGCGATTTGATCCTACTGTAAATCCCATTCTTTTGTGATAAAACACTGGTTTAAACTTCAATTTTCATTCATATGTTTTTTGATCATACATCTATAGACACGTCTTGCACCAAACTTGTGTCGTAGTGTTTCTGCGTGTCGTAGTGTTTCTGCCAGAAGTCATTCTACAAGGAATTTTGATTCCCTTATAGCACAACTACATCACACAAATGTCACGCCAATCCAATAACTTAAAAAATAAAAAATAAAATAAAATTATATAATACATTTACATCAAATATACGACACTATGCAATATATTTTATTATATTACAGCCTTATAACATTATTAAATTAAGAATTTAATATATTTATGTAATTATTATATTATCGAATTAAAGTTATTACTTTCACAATTTAAAAATTGTTATATTAAGCACATGATAGACATATGACAAAAATGACATCTGGATTCTAATTCTTTCACAAATTATATTACTATCTCCGTTTCATTTTATATGTCGGTTTTGGGAATCGTGACTCACTTTGAATCACGGTTCTCGAAACTGACATGTAAAATGAGACAGAGTGAGTACTTCTTTTCTCATCGAGTAACGTAATTATAAATTATCTAATTAAATATTTTTAATTAAATATTTATGCAAAATATAATAAAATAAAGGGATTCAGTAAGTCTGACAATTCATTACAACAATTGAATGTAAAAATCATCTTCCTTTTCTCATTTGGTCTGCTACACGGATGATGATTAATTTAATCGTATTGTTCTAGTGGAGTGAAAGGATAATTAATTTATGTGAAGAAAGGGCTGGGCCTAGTCCATCTTTCAGATGCTTATTAGGCCAAGCTTTGTGGACTAACAACATGCCTACATTTTATGCCCAGACATGCTCACCTAACAAGTAGGCAGGACCAACACGTCCCTCCAAGCCGACAAGTGTTTGTTTGCTGGTGGGATCAGGCCCGGAGCAGAATGCTTACTCCCTAAAAGTGGCCACACAAATTAGGTTTTCTGTGTTGAGAAATGTCTGGAAATGACTTTAACCACTATTTGATTTGTTTATAATAAAGCATGTGATCTAAGGATATTAATTTCTTTTAAAAGGCAAAGGTGGATGTGTCCAACACTCACTAATAAGGATTGGCATTTAATCCTCTAATTTACGAATTTGATCCATCCAATTTAATTTCTTTTAAAAGGCAAAGGTGGATGTGTCCAACACTCACTGATAAGGATTGGCATTTAATCCTCTAATTTACGAATTTGATCCATCCAATTTTATTTGTGAGGATCGAATCCAATTGCTAGATTCAATAATATGAAATCCGTAATTCATCGGATTATGGATTGAATTTTATCCCTGAGATATATATTCTAAAATGTATTAGTAATAATCTTTTAAATTGAAATTAATTAATGATTATTTAATGGCGTGTATTAGTTTGAATTAATATTGATAAATTAAAATTTTATCTATTAGACTATGGTTAAACAATAACAATATTGAATTATTTGGGAATACTCAATCCGTGAATCTGATTTGATCTATTATTACATGGATCCGATCTGATATGTTATCTAACAAATCGACGATGAATTTAGATTTTTTTTATTTCATTGAGACCTAATCATATTAACTTTGATGCCTAATATGATTTGATCTATTATATGTGACCCTTACTTACTCACCAATGCTTTATGGGTGAAGAGATTCTCCTTGTTTTAGAGGTTCCCTGTTTGATAAGGTGTTAATGATGATGATGTAGGACGGACCATTATTAGGAGTCAATTTATGGAGTACCGAGACCATTATATGCTTAACATCAAACCGACCTCTGCGCACAAACCTCCTTTACAAGATGTTGGTGAAGATGAAATACAAGAAAGATGGGGACAAGAAAGAAGACGCTGTGTTTAAAGAGATTGTTTGCCAACTCAATTCATAATTAATTCTAATATTATATTTTGGAACACTAAATTCACACCTTAAAATTATACTACCTAATAGAAAAAATTTAATATAAATTTTCTTTCCACCAATTTTTAATTCAATCGATATACTCAAATATGGTAGCAACTGTCTTTTGACTCTCTTCACGTGAAATGTGAGAGTGCGAATATGGCACCGTTCTCTTGTGCTGGACAAACTGTACACCAATTGGAAATTCTATCTAACATATCATGACTACCACATGATTTTCTAACTTCCTCATGACATCATATTTTGCTTAATTTCATGAAGGAATTAAAAGTTTCTCATTTCAAAACTAACCTCACAAAAAGTAAAATAATCCTCTGGAAGCTCCTTCAATAATTTAAAGATGTATTCTAGATAATGTTTTTTAAGTAAAAATATTAATAAATAAAATTAGAATTTTTTATTTTTTTTAAAAATAATAATAATAACATTAGAATTCATTTCTGCTTGCTGATATCATTGACATGGTTCGTTACTGGGTTTTGTTTGGTTCTGCCTTTGTTCTTCTATTCTTTTTTTTTTCTTTCCATTGAATGTCAGAGATGATTGGTCAATCATCATGCAAGCATGCTAAATGCGTTGTTCCCTCCTTAAATGCTCAATATACCCTTGCAACTCTAAATTATATCAAGAATGCCATTGTTTCTTCTAAAGTCCATTACGTGTTATGTCATTATCCAAAAACAAAGAGTTGATAAGACAATCAGATGCTCCTAAATTCCTTTGACTCTTTATGAGAAAGTTTACTGCTAGATTTTATTTTATTTTATTTTTTACATGGTCAATAAGTTAATTATAAAAATTAAAAATTAATAAAATTTTAATACTACACTTAAAATTACAAAATAAATAACTAGCATATTATTAACATAAATATATGAATAGAATCTATTAAAAGATTAATTATTATTATTATTTTTATTTATTTATTTTTCTAAGACCTCAAAGAGCCACCCCACAGATGTGATAGTTGCACACGGTGGATATAACTCTTATTCTTCCATATAAGTCCATGAGGCCTGTGTATTGCCCCCACATCTTTGTGGGGCCATTTGATGAGCTCAACCCGTGAATCTATGCTCTCACCAGACCCACCCAATTGCAAATTAATGTATCACAAAAATAACTGGTATTAGGTGACTGTTTATTTAGCTGTCTATTTAGTTGCATGGTTTATTTTAAAAGTAATTAGAGTAATAATACTTACACTAAATAAATTAATAATTTTTATAGTTTTTTTTCTTATTTGTTATATAATTGACCAATTAAAAAAGTAGGTTTAACAATTCACTGTAATTATTCGGTGCAAGAATTATTTCCTTTTTTTTTTTTTAATATAGAAAGGACAAAAAAAATAACAAAACTTATCCTTAAAGAATCCAAACCCTAATATAACAACTTAATAACTTGATTTCAATTATGTTAATTATATTTCCATCTATAAAATCCTTTCTACTAAATCTTCAAATAATTCATATTAGAAAGTATAATTTTTTTTACCATAAATGACCTCTTTATTGTGAATAAGAATCTTAATTTACATAATTTATTTAAAAATTTTTATAATTATATTTTGAATTGAAATTTTCTAATTATATATAATTAAAATTAAATAATGAGATATATTAGTAGAGACGGGTACTAATTATCTTTAATTTATTAAAATAGAAAACATAAATACATAAAAGAATAAAGTGTAATATATATTAAGAAGGAGAATATTCATATCTTTTTAGTTATCGCCACATAGATTCAAGATTCGAGATGTGTATCTTATTGGTGTGATATATTTACCTTCTTTTATCAGTAAATAAGTACCTGAATTTTTTATCAAGAAATATATATAGGTTGATTAAATAGTCTGACTTTTTTAAAAAATTAAAATAAATATTCTTCTAAAATAAATATGATTTTTAATAATAAATGATCAATTATTTTTAAAATAATAATTTTTAGGCCTAATAATACAAGAGTTTTATATGACAAAACATATTGTTCAGTACATTCAATTGATAAAAAAAATATTGGATTTTAGGCCTAGTTATCATTGTCGCGCCTAGTTATCATTGTCGCACCTATTAATAATATTGGAACCCAATTGTTGATTTGTTAATTTAAAATCTGAAACGGGTAAACACCCAAAATGATGGATCACCCAATATTTAAAGAAATGGATCTTTAATGGGACCCACCTACGGATTGGGTCCAGAACCACTCTTTGGAAAGGTCCAAAAAGAGACCCATTCAGTATAAACAATAATTTATCTACCATGTGAGAGAGGGAGGGAGAGTAGGAGAGAGAGAGAGACTATTGGGTGGGGGGTGTACTAACCGGAGAAACTTGCAGAGATGAAAACGGAATAACAGAGTTCAAGAGAGAGAAAGCAAAGCCAGCGAAGAAGCTTGAATAGTAAGATTAAGGGTCTTCACCAATTTCATAAATATAATATCTTCAAGTTAAATTTTTTGCAGGTTTGTCTGGTAGAGATTAGTGGGCATACAACATCTCTCTTGTCTTAGTCTACATATTCTTCTGATGTGTCTTTGTTTATACTCCTATTTTATATATAGATATGTGTGCAATCTGTGTCTTATGCTTCTTGTAATCTTGTTGCTTCACAAACACACTTGTCTCTCCATTCTAGTTGAGAACCACATTTTGCTTCTGCACCATTAATTGACTAAACACTTAAAGAACCAAACGTACCCCTTTGTGTTTGTCTTATTGCCCATATCAGAATATTTATGGGTTACTTTTCATTTGTTCTCTTCATATCTGTCTTTCTTGGGTTGTTGATTTTTCTACTTTCCAGATACGATTTCCAAACGATAGTCTTGTTTTTGAGTGGTTTTTGGGTTTTTCTTTATTTGGGTCATGGAGGTCTCTTGTGACCTTGAAGTGGATGTTAATGGGGAAGAGATTTTCTTTGTGGACAAGGTGAAATCTCTGCTCTTCGTTGTAGGTTAACATTTCATATGTTGCTTCTCTCTCCAAAATATAGTCTTTTACATTAATTTTGTTTGTTGCAATTATGATTCATCTGATTTTTCAGTGTTCGATTTTAATAATTAACTTTCCTTTTTTTGTTCGTTTGGTTGCTGAGAAAATGTTTCAGAGGCAAAAGATATTAACAAGGAACTTTTCAAACTGACCCAATACTTAGTTGGAATGGGTTCATCTCTGAACAGAAATTATACAAACACAAATATCAAATATAGTGTTTAATTGTTTAAAGGCAAGTTGGTGATCATGATGATGAAGTGTACTATTTGGACCTACTATGCACTTCTCATAGCTTCTTTCCTGGGTTTTCTGTGAAACGTAAAATTCATTTGTGTAGCACTTGTGTTTCTTTACATTTTCTTATACATAGATTTCTGTTTATTTTAGATGTTATTTTCATTAACTTCTTTTCCCAACAGTACCTATTTTTTAATTTGCACCTATTCTGCTCCAACGTGGGGCTTTGGTCCCATTGGTTCCATTCCTCTATCTCGACCACTTGTTTTCACCATCTTCTCACACTCAACACCAAAGATTGGGTACTCTTTTCTTCTGGATTTTTCAGTCATTTATTGCAATTGCTATGGGTCTTAAATGTTCATGCCTTTATTTGCTTCTTTGATCTTTCGCTCCTTTTAAGAGTGTGACTAAGGCCCAAGGGTTGTACTCATGGTATTGATTACTGTTCCTTTCCCTTCTTTGCTGGGACGATCAGCAGACAACTTTTCAAGATTCCCCTTCAAGAATTTATTGTCTATAACGACCTCTCACCATTCTTTTGCAGTAACTGGTACATATTCTTCTTTATATATCATCTTTTCTTTGCTAAATTCAATGTCTTTGGTGTTTTTTAAAACTGAAGGTTCTATTGTGAAAGTGATTGGATTGTCTTTATAATATTTCTTTGAAATACTGGTTAATTAGTTTCAGGTTTGGCTTCTAATTTCCATTTTTCATTACTTCTTGAAGACATTGTTGTTAGGTAGTGCCTCTTTTTTGTTCTATTGTGAAAGTGATTGGGTTCTCTTTATTATATTTCTTTGAATTACTGGTTAATTAGCTTCAGCGTGCATCACTTGGTTTGGCTTCTAATTTCCATTTTTCGTTACTTCTTGAAGACATTGTTGTTAGGTAGTGACTCTTTTTTGTTCTATTGTGAAAGTGATTGAGATGTCTTTTATTATATTTCCTTGAAATACTGGTTAGTTAGCTTCAGTCCATCACTTGGTTGTCCATATATTTATAGCTTACTTTTATATTTGGCTTCTAATTTCCGTTTTTCATTACTTCTTGAAGACATTGTTGTTAGGTAGTGCCTTCTTCTAATTTTTTTTTTTTTTTTTGGGGGCTCGTTTTAATCTATTTTTATTGACCTTTGTTCATCATGTGACAATTGTTTATGAAAATTTGCAGAAGATCATTTCTTCTTATTCGGGCAGAATAAGCAAATTATTTGGAAATTCGACCGGCTCAAGGACAAAACAGAAGGTGATATTCCATGACTTTCCAGGAGGTGCAGAGAGTTTTGAGTTCATGACAAAGTTCTGCTACAACAATGCCAAAATTGAGATAAATCCCTTTAACCTCTCTCTCTTATACTGCATTGCACATTTCATGGAAATGGACAAATCTATCTCTGGAACGGTCAATTTATTTGAACAAACTGAGAAATCACTAAAAGAGATCAGGTACTGGACATGGTCTGAGCTTTTGGTAGCTCTGAAGCAATGCCAAGAGTTGCTTCCTGTTTCAAATTCTCTTGGTATACTACAAAAATGCTTGGATTCTCTTGTTGGAAGGCTTGCATTGTCCAACGAAACAAGTCCATGTCCATCTACTTCTTCCCCAGATAGTTCTGGTTTACGGTTTTCTTGTGACACTAGAAGCACTGAGAGCTTCAAAAACAGTTTCTTTCGAACAACATGGTGGTTCGAAGACCTTGTAACATTGCATCCTGATCTGATTGAAATGGTGATAAAATCATTGGTATCCCGAAAATTTGACCATAGTATTATTAGTAGGTTCCTATTTTATTACCAAAAGTCAAGATTTATTACTGCCACGTCAGATGAGAAGTGCAAAATCACTGAGGCCGTCATTGATATGCTCTATTCTCTGGATCAAGCCACCGTTTCTTACAAGAATTTATTTGGGATTCTTCGAGTTGCTCTGACTTTAAATATTAGAAAATGCTGCAGGAACAACTTAGAGAGTATGATTGGTTCACAGATGGATCAAGCAACACTAGACAATCTGCTTGTTCCATCTCCAATCAGGACTAATTATCTGTATGACGTGAATCTTGTCCTGAGGCTTTTAAGATCATTTCTTGACAGAGGGATATGTCCTGTACCATTGGTTCGGTCGAAGAAAGTGGCTAGCTTAATGGACTTGTATATAGCAGAAGTAGCCCCTGATCCTAATTTGAAACCCTCAAAGTTCTTGGCTTTGATTAGCGTGCTGCCAGATTCTGCCAGAGATACTTATGATGGAATCTACCATGCCATGGACATGTATTTAGAGGTACTTCATTACATTTACTAAATTTTGTTATGCATGACATTTTTTTAGCCTTTCAATTTTGTAACATAAAGTCTGGATTTGTTATTGAAATAATTTTAGTATCCCTTCTCATTATAAGATCTTTATATGGTAGATGAGGTTTATAACCATATTATTCAATTTGAAGCATCCCAACGAACAAGTTATCCCGACTATGGGATCATGTTTGCATTATTAATGGATTTTTTGGGAATACAGGTTCATTCTGGATTATCTGAAGAAGAAAAGATGAACATCTGTTGTGGACTGAACTATAAAAAGCTCTCATCAGAAGTTTGCAGCCACCTTGCTCGGAACACAAAATTCCCATCAAAATCTGCTGTCCAAGCTCTCGTCTCTCAGCAGAGTGTGCTCAAAAGCTTGCTCCAAGAAACCAACCAACCAAATCCCTTTATCGATTCACCATGTAGTTTTGTGGAAATCGATAGCACGGGAAATGAAAAAGCTTGTGAACAAATTGTACTCTACGCAGGAAAGCTTGATCTTTCATCTGAGAATGAGAATCTCCGAGCACATCTGCAAGGTATGCAATGGAGGGTGCAGGAATTGGAGAAAGTCTGTCGAAAAATGCAAGCCCGAATGACAAAGATTATGAAATCAAGATTATCAAGTCATAGTAATGCCAGATCCTTACCCAGACTGTGTTCATAATATATAATTGCAAATTAATTTTTCCTAAATCATTTTCCTGTACATGCATGTAGATGGCATGAGAAATGGGCTATATATTTTGTGATTGTAAATGTTTCTTTTACTCTCTTTTGTGCATCATTTAAAGCTGATCCAGAGCACTCCCTTTTACAGAGATCCAAGTCTTGGATGCACGCACATTCACACAAACACAAACAACTGTTTATTCTCTGTGGTAGGTGTGAAATGGACATCTAAGGATCAGTCTCTTTCCATGTTCACTCTCCTTGGGGCAATCATATTGCAAGTTGGCAAATGGTATATATATGAAAAGGAAATCACATAAATTTACTGAAAAAAAAAAAAAAAAGAAAGTACAAAGAATCGCATAATGCTGTTGCTGCTTGATCAAAGATCTTAATACTCTCTCTCTCTCAATGTGATACTGATATAAATTGAATTGTAAATCATTAACAAAAGTATCATGCATGAGTTAGCGCTTCCAATTTCAAATCCAACTTACTAATTCGGTGCTCACATACACAGCATTAAACAGCATTAAAGCATTAGGGTTTACAAATCATTCGGAAGTGTACAACAACTGTTCTGATTAATTGTTAAAATATATATATATTAAATTTATGAAAGAGTAGGAGCTAATAATTTCATGGACCATACGAAAGCTGTAAGCCTGCTGTAACGCTATTAATCATTAATCTAAGAAGGGGGTGTGATGCTCAATGATACGTTGATTGACAAGGATAAGGATTCGATGCATTTGAGCGGTGTACATGAGAGATTGCCCATCAATAATTGTATAAGTATTTAGTAGCAGGACCTACTTGGCGTAAACAAAACCAGTATATATTTGATAGAGAATTGCAAAAAAGAAAAATAATAATATATATTTATATATACATTTTACTTTGTATTAAACTTCTTTTTGATGTCGGGTTGCTCCAACGGGGCAACTGGTAAATTTCTTATAAAGTCAGTGGGTCCAATTATGTAATTTTTTGCATTTTTGTTTATTCATATTATATATCCTGTTTGGCAGGGCTTTTTGTAGCCTCAAAACGGACTTCTAAATCCAGAAAATCCTTTGCCAATTAAAAAGAGTATTTGGTAAAATTTTTGAAAACGACTTTTAAAAAGTCTCATTGGTTTAAATGCCTGATTGACCAAAGCTAATAAAACATGCTTTCTGATCGACTTTCCGTAGGCTACACATTTTTTCAAGTAATAAATATAAAATTTCTATATTGTCCATTATTTAATCTATTTCTATTTCTGAATTTCATTGCAAACTTTTATCTTTCTTATCATCTTCTTCGTTGGTTCTCTACCCAACAAATAAAATAATAATAATAATAATAATGTTGAGCAAAATTTCACATAAATATATTATTGAAAAGTCATTCAACAAAGAAAGAACAAAAAGATTGAAGAGTTGCTGGAAAAACTTCTATTGACTCCTATTTGACTTCAAAGCCTAAAGAGTTTCAAGATTTATAAACTCTCGTCCACGTGCGGAGCCAAGATTCAATGCAAGGGGCCGTAGTATTAACAATTTTACCAATATATATAATAATATTTTAAGTCAAAAGTACTTAATGATCGATTAAATGCATACAAAAATATATCTAGCCAACATTTGAAGACCGTTGGTTATCATGAACGGAAACATCAACATTAGAGGCGGAAGCCACGAAAGACACATAATTTTTTTAAAAAAAAAAAAAGCATCAATAGTTCTTTTTTACTTCACCATCGTATAATACTGGACCTAAAGAAGGTAATTCAAATATAAACTTTTAATACCTAGAGTTTTACAGTATAATTTAAAGTATAGATCCTAAATTCCTAATAAGCATAATTGAGTAAAAATAATATTGCCCCCTCATTGCACATAAAATAACTAATTAAAATATACATATATATATTACCCAGTGTTTAAAATGACTGATTTCAAGTGAATTTTAGAAAAAATATGAAAAGATAATTGTTAGAAGAAAAAAAGTGTGTTATCAAAATTACAATTACGAAAAGTACTATAAATTGTACCAAATGTAAAAAGTTATAAACATCTTTTTCTTTTTTTTTTCTTTTTTTTTTTTTACTCACACACACATACCTACACAGAGGCTTGAACTCCTGATTTCCCTTTGAAAAGTAAAAGTCTAGTATCGCTAGATCACTGGCTGTTGGTAAAAATAAAAAAAGTTATATACATAAGTACCATTGAGATATAGAATTGAACAAATTAGCCACATTTCATTATGCATCATCAGCATTCCAAGTGATTCAATTGTTAACGTGGTAATAAAAATAACCACATATAATTCATATATTTTTGTTTTCCTTATTTAAAAATTGTATAGCCAATAATAAAACTAAAAATCTTCATTAAGTATATAGCCTGATATATTTTATTGTCAGTAAATAATTGACAAAAATATAAATGAGAAAATAAATAATTAAATAAAACCAGTCATATGAACCAAATCAAGCACGCTGTTGATAAATTAAAAGTGCTGACAAGAAAGAAACAAGGAAGAAAATGGCTAAATAAAGCATTCCCATGGAGAAATTGGTGGGTGGAACCAGAACGACTTGGTCTCATCTTCTTCTTCATCAATAACCAAGCCCATTTGGGTTTGGTGGCTGGTGCTCTGTTTTCCGGAGAGGTTTCGATTAGTGCAGGGAGGGTCAAGAAAAACAAGAAGACATTGTGGTGGACTAGTGCTGGGTACAAAAATAGGGCTTCGTATTGAGACTTAGATATATAAACATACATATATTGCCAGAAGAGGAAATCCATTTGTTGAAGTCGCAGTGAGAAAAACAAGGCTTTCATTATGTGTGCGTATCTAAGTCACACAATTCTTCTTAACTGGTGTCGCAACTCCCGTTCTTACGCTCCGCACACGCTCTCGCTCAAATTCCTACTGTCTATGACTTTAAATTCTCTCTCACTCCCGCTTTTTGTGACTTAGTTGCATATATATGTTAATTAGAAAATTATAATCATAAAATTCCAGAGGGGCCAAGTGTACTAATTTATTATATAAAAAATAAAAAATAAAAATTATTTATATATATACTTATAAATTTTCTTTTGGGGGGCTAGCCTACCCCTCCCTCCGCCCTGCTCTCATCCAAAATTCAACATTTTGTAAAATTCTAAATAATCTCTCTCTCTCTCTCTCTCTCTCTCTCTATATATATATATATATATATAGCTTTTTTGAAGGCTACCTGTTCGCTGTGAAAGTGATTTATAATTATAAATAAGAATAAAAATGGGATATTTTTGCTGTCATGTAAATCAGGTAAATTTGTATACCTAGATCTTCATTATGTCAATTAATCGTTGATGCATCATCGATAATTTCATTCCATCACTTTAATTATGGTTTTTTTCTTCTTCTTCCTTCTTTGTACATCCCAATTCAACTCTTTGGTATTATTCATGATTTATTAAGGATATAATTGTCAACTTAAATTAAGTTAATAGTTAAAAGAGCTTCAAAAAATTTACCCACCATACAATTTTTTTTGTTTTAAATTTCTTTCATTAAAATGTATTCTTCAAAACCGATTAAGTGAAAAGAATTTTAAAAACTGAAAGTCCCCCAAAACAAAACAATATGTATACTATTATTATATTTTTATTTTATAAAATGCGTATAAATAAAAGAATTTGATATGAATATTTGATCAAATAATTCGATCGACAAAAATGAATCTTAATTATACAAGTAATTGAATGGCAGAAAGTAGCTATTAATTTTATAAAATGCATATTCTTTAATTTTTATTAATTAAAAGTATGATTATGATGTATATAATAATAAATAAAAATTTATCTAAATTCACACAATTTGATGAATCGCAAAAAATAGGCCCGGTTATTGCATTTGCAATCTAAGCGCTTAATGAGTAATTAAAAAAAGAGACAGATGTCAGTGTTGTAGACTTCATGTACTAGTCCTTTCGAAACACGCCAATACGTACCCATTCTCTTTCTTTTCTGGTTTTGTGTTTCTTTTATTCCCTCGTGCGACATGACTTTCTTGATTATGGAACACTAGTTAGACACACACATATGCATGTATGTACACCTAGCAACAAAGATACAATAGCTCTTCAATAATAAGCGGTGATTATGCCCTGCATGAGGAACATTTCGTTGCCATCTCAATCTTCTTCCGAAATCGTATGGTTAAAACGTTTATTAGAAGATTTAAAGGTGAAACACTCATAACCAGTCATGTTGCATTGCGATAATAAGGCAGCCTTGCATATAGCTGCAAATCCCCTTTTTTATGAACGCACAAAACATATAGAAATTAATTTTCATCTTGTTCGAGAAAAACTACAGGTTGGTGTCATTACAATAGTTCATATGCCTGCAACTTGCTGATCTGTTTACTAAAGTACTCGGGTCCAACAGTTTTTTTTTACTTTGTAAGTTAAATGTGTTATGAATATACACGCTAACTTGAGAGGGAGGATTAAGAAGGATCAAATCAGCCCCACATAGTATTCCTCTATTATTGATTTTCTAATATATATTATACCAATTGTATATAGTATCAATTCCTTGTATCAAGAGATATGAAGCTATAAGAGTGTATATTAAGAGTGTATATATATGTTCATTGCACATAATAGAAAATACAGAATTCTTCCGACTTTATATTCAAAGTGGTGTACATGAGAGATTGCCCATCAATAATTGTAAAGTATTTGAGAAAGAAGAAAGTATACTATTTGGGCAGGACGACCTACTTGGCGTAAACAAAACCAGTATATATTTGATAGAGAATTGCAAAAATAATAATAATAATAATAATAATATTTTTTTTTTTTTGACTTATAACGTTTTTTATTAAACTTATTTTTGATGTCGGGTTGCTCCAACGGGACAACTGCTAAAATTCTTACAAAATCAGTGTGTTATGCAATTCGTCCAATTATGTAGTAATTTTTTGTATTTTTGTTTATTCATATTATATTATATATGTTACTATTATATTATTTATATTATATTTTTTATTTTATAAAATGCCTATAAATAAAAAATTTTGATATGAATATTTGATCAAAC